TTAAGGTTATGTGTCCCAGTAGATCCTTTCTCTAGAGCACAACAGCAGGCAGCTGAATCAGCAATCTTCAGTTTTTGTCTAATTAAGGTGCCACTCATTGTCCCTCAAAATGTGCTTCTGATCTATGACTGCATGGAAACCTCAGCTACTCCAAGAAGGATTCTGACATCAGCTCATCCTACTGTAATTACACAATTATTTAGTCATCAATGTATGATGAAATATGAAAAGACTTTATGAATCCCTTAGGGGGAAATCGGTAATGTCAGGCAACATTATAAAGATAAATCAAGCCCAGGAAATGAAATAAAACAAAACATTTAAAAAGAAATACAGTCCATGTGGTGCAAGTGAAGTAAAAATTCCAGAAGAAAAGTCAAAGAAAGTGAAGTTGCAGTCCTCCGTGGGACATTGAATGAGCGAATGACGTTATAGGCACAGGAGAGCTTCTGTGGTGGTTCTGCTTGAGGACATCAGCGCTGCCTCAGCTCTCCCGACTCTGCTGGGAAGGTGCCTCTCGTTATTCAGAACCTCTTCTAGCTGGAACACGTAAGCACTCCAGGGTCAGTGTCATCAGAGCTTTCTGCCTTGTCCATGCAACAGCCCGAGTTAAAGAAATGGATTAGTATAGTCTGAGGGTACATACATGCGGCAAACTTCTTAAAGGGTTAAACTTTTCTGTAAGAACCAAACAAACTGTCTTATTCCCATCAGGAAAGCCCTTTTGCATTGACATACACTCTTGCACTTCTGCACATTATCAACCAAATATACATGCTCCGTATATCAACGACACTGAATGTGACCATTGTCTGTTCATGTACAGTAACTATTATTCGTATTTGAGCCTGTGTGAGAACGTATTTTGCCAATAAACCTGATTCTGATTCGCTTCGGAGTGTTTTAACATCCCTTGGGATCCGGGTTTATTATTTGGGACGCTACGTACTGTTTTCCAGGGGAAAATTATGGCCACTCCGAAGCTGATGTAGCCAGCGATGCAGTGAGCAAATCCATCGATGTCCATGCCGTACAACCCACAAAACAAGCCCCAGTCTGTCACCTCCAAGCACTTCTGTCTCTGTCTTTTATGTAAATCAGATGTGCTGGTGGAGAAACAGGCAGGTGCCCACATAGGACTGGCTGAGAACCATGGTCCTTCTTTCTACAGTAATGGAGGCTGCTCTTATTCAAGCTAGGTTTCATGATAAATATTTTGTTTATTTTAAAACTAGTAATAGACCACAAAGGGAATTGAGCCCTGAATCTCTTGATCCAAAAATAAGACCTCTTATCTGATAGGCTACATTGTACATATAGTTATTTTTGTAGCCCTTTTCTGAAGAATCTCAGTAATACATCTCAAAATATAGCATATACACAGTAATCGTGATTCATCATCTCTTTCTTCATTACATGCCTTTCAGATTAAAGACACTATGATTTATACACTGAAAAATGTTAGGAATTGACATCTTCAATGCACATTGTATATTTCTGAAGTTTTGCATATGAACATGCACTTCCCCCCTACAATATCCCAGTCATCAATGTTTTAATATTAACATATAGGATTTAGTCAATGATAAGCAGTAGCTTATAATGAAGGATATATATATACACACACAGTGCTGCCTGAAAGGTTGTGCACCCCTTGAGTAGTTTACAGTAGATGTTTCTATTGTTTTACCATGATTTTCTCATTTTATCATCACCAGTTTTTATATATGAAATATCAGGATTATATTCATAAATTCCATGTACCTGCTTTAACCTCCTGAGACCCAAGGAAAAAAGAGTCATTCAGTTTTAGGTTAATTGTGATTTTCTATGTCTTTGGAGGAAATAAGACATCTTTTTTCAAATTTATTTTTATTTTTAATTTCACAGAATGTCCTCTTTAGTGTACAATGGGAATAAATATATTTCCTTACATCAGTGAAAAGATAGATGCAAAAACAAAATGTCCACTGCAGTGGACATAAATGAATGGGTGGGGTCTCAGGAGGTTAAGGGAACTGTGTAAGTATCCAGCAGACTACGTGAAACATTTAACCACAGTATGTATAAAAGTATGTAAACCAAGTAGGTAATAGACTCGGGTGAAACACGTGTGGGTGCTCAAGTAATCAATTAAGCAGAGTAGCAGATCAATCAAATGAGACATCATTAGAAATGGTTTTAAGCAGCACTGATTAAAAGAGAGAGGAGACCAACCTAAACTTCTGTCGTTCCAAAGCGTAAAGCGCTCAGATCAACGATGCTGAGAGGAAAGGAGACATCCGAGGAAGAATGTGGTGACAGCCCATCAGTCTGGGGAAGGCTACAAGACCATCTCCAAAAGATTCCAGCTCCATCCAGCCACTGTAAGGCAAGTCGTTTACAAATGGAGGGCACTCAGCATCACCGAAACTCTGCCCAGAAGTGGGCGGCCATCAAAACTTTCACCAAGAAGCATCAGAAAAATAATAATTCCGGAAAAGGCCAACCCACACATCACCTTCAGAGAGTTGCAGACCTCTCTGGCAGCATCTGGGATAAATGTACATGCGTCTACAATCAGGCGAAAAATAAATAGACATGGCATTCACAGGAGAGCTGCTAGAAAAGAAAGTTGCCCGTTTAAACTTTGCCAGAGAGCACTTGGACAAACCAGAGACCTTCTAGAAGTCCATTCTCTGCACAGATGAGTCCAAAATTGAATTATTTGGCCACAATCACAGGCGCCATGTTTCGAGAAAAGTCAACACTGCATGTCAAGAAAAGAACCTCCTCCCAACAGTGAAGCAGGGGCCCCAGCACTTTACAGGGGCCTCACGTTAACATATTGTTAGGGGGCCCAGGATGTCTAGCCACTTCACAGGATATATGGGACGGGTGGCAGTTCAGCCTGCACTCTGTAGCACGTCGGTTTTGCTGCATGACAACCCGTGTGATGGCAAAATGAGCTAAAAACACCTGTGCGTGCATATCTGCTGGCATGCTTCTCAGAGCCATAAATCAGGACAATGCCTGTTTTATATCCCACCTGATTGAAGCTGAGTATGAATGTTATATTCACAAGTGGCAAAATAGCTTTCAAAAGATATTAGAAATGTTTGAGATAGCCTGGCAGTCAATCATCAGGAATTTTTTCAACATTATTGAATTGTTGGCAAGACTTAAGAAAAAAGAACATGACATGACTGGAGGAATGAATGACTCAAGGGCAGGCTTCAGGAGAGAAAAGGGGGCTTTATTAAACAAAACAGCGGCAGGGAAACAAATGGGACAGCAAGGGGTTGAGATGAGAAGGTTGAGACTGGGACGGGCAGAGGCAACAGGAGGGCTGACCGTGATGACAGGACTGGGGAACACAGGACTGGGAAGCATGTGCATATGGACTAATGAGGGACTGGTATGATTCTGGTGCTGACATTTACCACTTTAGGATTGGGGTTTACAAACAAGACACAGCTGGGAGCAAACAAGAGGGTTCCAGAGGACCAGTAGCGACCCCTGCTTTTCATACCGGGGAACAGGGAAGGCTGTGACAATAGGGGCCTTCATAATACAAAATAAAGTTAATTTTAGAGTTCTGTGCTTTATAAAGCTCTTCCACATCTGCCCTTTTTCTGGAGCGTGGTTGCAAAAAAGTAATCATAGATTCCCTCACTACCTTTCATTCAGACCTTATCTAGTAACAATTTCCGCAGCCAAATCAATATTATGAATATGCTAATTAATCAGATACGACAGAATTATAATATAAATCCTTGGCTTGACAGTGTGTTGACAATTTGTTGTTGATTAGATATTTGATTGCAGAAAACTTTAAACATTCATTCCACCACATAATAAAGTCAAGATTTTTAATGTGCATATTCATTTTGCTTTTATAAAAATATGACGCACCGAAATGTTATATTTTCAAGTAAACCTGAAACATTAAAAACAAATTAATAACATTTGGCTGCAAGGCCCAGTTTATCTGTTTCCTGTCACATTTCTGAAGAATTTAAATGTACATTGATCATATTTATAGCACTTTATATAATTTAGATTTCATTGTGATTTTGACAAACAGATGCTGTGAAACTAATCAAGCATGACATCTCATTCGCATGAAAAATGCGCAACCAATGGGCATCTGATGTTAACAGAAGTCTTCCCGGACAACACCTGGTCCTGTTCTCCACTTATTATCGCGCTGCAAATGGACTGAGCAGTGACTAAGAATGAACTACGCAGGATGATCACGCCAGACCCTTGTCATTATTGGGCATTAATAGAAGCCAGCTAAAGACATTATCGCCTTCTCTTTCAGCTTTTTGGGATCCGGCGCGCACAAAGGCAGGCGGAGAAGTCACAGCGACCGAGAAGAAAGTGAGTGAGAAATGATCGAGCGCGGCCGCGAATGCCTTCCTCATCGGCAGCTCCTCGCTCGGGGACGGGGGGGGGGATTGCAGACAGGCTAGCGAGAGATGGCACCCCGTACTCCCCCGGGAAATCGGCTGCTCACAATGCCTTATCTGCAGCAGACACTGGGCTTCGGCACAGGCTTGCTGCCACCAAGCCGTCAACACTCAGGAACTTCACAAGAGACGCCATTATTTACCCTCAGTATCACGCTCCCTCGCATGCCTAACGATTTCACGATTAAATTCCAGCTCAGCATACTTCACAAAAATCTGGATTTACTTTTACATTTTTCCCATATCAGACTCTTCCCCCTTGTTCTTTACCTTTAATTAAACTGATTGTTGGCCCTTTAACAGTAAGAACCCTGCGACCACACAAACACAAAAAGATGCAAAAGTACGCGACACCTGCAACCTGATGTTTCTGCCAGAGGTGGCAATACTAGGTACTAAACCTAAAGATGAACCTTCTTTTTCCCCACAGAGAAAAGTGACGCCGCTGTTGAATTTTGTTGAATAATCCGTGGGGGTGCTGAGCACCTGCCCGTGAACTTCAGCATGAGCTTTAAAGGTACGGCGTGCCCCTTTTTTAAACTTTGACCGCCTGCCCCTTAAATACTTTCCGCATAGCTCTGCAACCAAGTATTACGTGATGAGTCAAAGAGATAAGGACACCTCGGTGACAATGAGCCGGCTGTGCTTTTGTTTTGGCTGGTACTTTTATGACAGCAGCTATGGAAACTTATATTATCAACATTATATTATCGGCGGTCTAAGCAATACTCGCTGAAATTCTGCACCTCCCAAAGCTGGTATTTTGCAAGACAAGTTGTTAACTGGACAGGAACAGAAGGACCAAGTTACTCATCATTTTCAGCCCTTACCAGTTACTAGAGCATGTGGGATATCTGTGGATGATGGCAAGAGAGCAGTTGCTCTTAACTGGTAAGTCCATATCGTGTATTCTGGTCGGACTGCATGAGCTCATTCTTCCAAACAACATACTTTTGGCATTTCCATTTTAATTTACAGCCGACAAATTCTTATTCATGAGAAGCGTGAAACATTGTATCAAAATTGTAATAATTTTAAAGGTGAATATACTGTAATCTCAGAAGGTGCGAAACTACAAAAGACATGAATCTACATGTAACATTGAAGCTCTTAACCTCTGCTATGACACTGTATTCAACCTCCTCTTTGCAAATGTTTAGAGCACTGAAGGAAAACCAGGAAATTATGTAGATGCTGATATTTGGATCGGGATCCATCCATAGTGGAATTATTCCGTTTTTCAGAATAAGGCATTAATTACTTATGCTAATCCATCTATCCATCTCCCAACTGCATATGTTGGATGGGGTCACTGGGGATCTGGAGTGTAACCCAGGCAGCATCGTGCAGAAGGCAAAATTAAACAATTTATGGGACGTCAGTCGATCACAGAGTCCCTGCATGAAAGCACTAACACTCAATCATATGTTATGACTTTGGACTGCAGGATGTAACTGGAAATGCTGGAGGAAGCCTGCATAACAGGCAGAGAACATGTGAACTTCACAAACTAAGCAGGAGCAGGACTTGAACCCCCAGCCCTGGAAGAATGAGGCAACAATGCTAACCACTGAGCCACCACACCACTCTCAGTAATAACAGTGATGCGTTTAATTATCACAGCACTAGAGCGAAGCTATTATATACTTTACAGCTGAGCTCATCCTGTATGTGAAACAGCTTTCCTTATATAACACAATCAGTCAATCAATCAAAACAAATTTGACCCATAGAATATTTGCCCACTTGGGGAGACCATCTACGTCCCAAGATGTTCAGTGACCTAAGATGAGAACCACAGGATATCAAATCTTCAAATTCATGACTGATAGTGTTGAGTACTCTATGACTGTGACTCATTACATTCAATAGGTTGGGTGGTCTGGATTTGTACACTCCGGACCTGAACTTTACACCTCTATCTGTAATGGATTACTTTTGTGAGTAAGTTCCCCAACACTGATGACTGTTTCAGTATACAATCTACCCTACGCAATTCAGTGGATGTCAATGTTGGTGGGATTTAACAGTTTACAGCAATATTGGTCAAATAATAGCAGACTGATAGAAAACATGTTTTACCTGAATAATTGGACCCTGACATCCATGCATATAGTGTAGTTGTATAGGTATGTGTATTATCAAGCTTATCTGTCATAAGCTGTTTTCCTCACAATCTGATATATAAATCATTTCTTTCAGAGTAAGTTCACACGGTCAAGAAGGCACTGACAGCGCACTTCATTAAAGCTAATTGAATTCAGAGGTATATCAGTCATAAATCAGTGAGAAATGTGTCAAGCAGGGATGATGTCTAATATATAAACCCTTCACACATGATCTCCCTTTAATTTTTTTTGACGTTAAGTTAAAATTTGCTAAACTAACTTCCTCTTGTAAAAAAAAATCGCTCTTGAACGGCTCATCACAAAAGCTTCAGTTACTGATATATTTTTAGAAAGGACTGTATTGAATTATATTCAGTAGAAACGAAGAAAAGAAAATGAAATGGTGTCTTTAATAAATGTACCACAATAAATTACAAATTTAAAAGATACATTTACTGCAGTAATATATTAAAAGAGGCGCATTAGTTTTCAATAACCTTGGTGTGTCTTTTTTGACTTACTTTTTCCATATTTTTTTTTTCTGTCTAAAAATCACCTTGTGACTTTGCCGAGCCTTGGAGTTAATTAGCATTTGATGGCTGTTTCTCATCTTTTACATTCCTTCACCACACTCCCTCATCATTTGTCTCAGTAATGAACTCAGGCTACACAGAATCCAGTTGCGGAGTTTAATACTGTATAATCATTCAGGCAAAGGCAGAATCCATAAAACCGGGCGAAGGTAATCAGGGACAAACAGGAATGACGAGGAAGTTCCAAAACTAGTTAGTTGAAGAAAAATAGGTAACAGTCGAAACCCCAAATCCATAAGATACTGCAAACATTCGGAATTGCTATTAAAGAGACACAAGACCCAACACTGACTGGGGAGAGTTAAATAGTCTTTGGACTTGGTGTGGATTATTGTGCTAAATGAGGTTATTAAGCTTAGGGGCTCCTCATTATGGGGGTACTCCTCCGGGAAAGGGGACACGTCCACTTCTTTGTGCGGCAGCGGCAGTGATGGTCTCTGATCCTGCTGTAGCAGGCTGGTGTTGAAGGTCCACGCAAACCATTTCCGTGAAGATCCTGCCAAGCAAAATGAGGCTCTAAAAGAAAGTTTAAATGGCTGCAGTATTTTTATACCAGCCGTACAATTTTATACTTGTTATCTGCTGAACAAAACAAAAACTTTTTGGGAAGTTTCAGACTCCGGCAAGAAGTGCCTGCGGTTGTGCATTTGATATGATAAATGTTTCTGGTTCGAAAGTTTGTTCTGCCCCTGAGAAAATAATGAAAAATGAAGTGATGCCAGAAAAAATAAAACGCAGCCCGTTTTTAAACATATTTGGGATGAGTGACCCGTTCAATAGTACAGCATCTAAACTGGACTGAATTTCCTGCGATTTACAACCGCGGCGTTCAGACGAGAAGCTCACCGCTATAGCCACCTGAGTGGTTACCGTAAAGCTTTTAACATGCAGAAATTAGTAATATGGCATATTAATGCAAGCAATCACTGAAAATGAGAGGTAACTACAGTAACTAAACTTATCTGTCCTGAACTAAAGCCAAGCTACTTAAGGTTACATAAATGAAGTTACAAGTCGGTGGAACTTTAGCGTTCGCTCTACCGGCTCACTTCACACGTCAGCTTGGCTCAGCCACTCCCTTGCCTTTCTTCTCACTGTTTCCCTTATTTATTTTGAAAGTTAAAGAAGAAAGTGATTGAAAATTTAAGACAATAACATTCATTGGAGCGTATTTATTCATGCGCCACCCAGTGGTGGAGCGCGAAAGCCAGTAGAGCGCACGCTGAGGGAGTACTGTTAGGTCAATGGGGATTTTTTTCCAAAAATAAGTATTAAAAAATGATCTCAGGTTAATAAACATATCTACTCAAATATGAGATATTATATCATGAAATTTCATAAATATAGCGCTCTTAAGAAATGTAGCTGATGGCGACTAACATCAAGTAGTCAAGTGTCCAAAGAATAATTCTGTATGATTTCTAGTGCCTAAGCCTTCTCTCTGCTGAACTCGGATGAATTCCTTCTCTCAGAGTGTAAGAGCAGAATTTCCCAATCTTCCTTGCTTACCGTTGGCCTATATTTTCACCATCGTAAAGCTGCCATGATCCAGGTTTTGTTCACGGTAATATGAGGTAATGATGGATTTCCCAAATAATACAGGTGACCTGTCATTCACAACAGAAATGGCCCAGCATAAATATCTGGGCTTTGTTCTAGGTAATGTGGTGTAATAATGAATATCTTTACCGAGCGTAGTTAGGGCAATAGAGTGTGAGGATAAATAACATTAGGGCATGTAAAAGACGTCAAAATAAACTGAAGTAGCAAGGCAATAGACACTCAAGTGCTCTATAAATCACAGTCCTATTGAAATATGCTACTCCCCTTCTGTTCCTATAGTGCAGAAGATCCACTTTTCTAGCAGGGATCCACCCTTGGACCTGGGATTTCAGTAGACCTACATCAAGGTAATTTTTATTTGCTTTAGATAGAGTTGCAGTGCTGGGGGTACCGATCCGGCAATGTTTGCTGGACTGAAGCCAAGTGTAAATAATGTAAATGGCAGGAAGTAATTAGCGTATATAGTGTTGCTATTGTGTGCACTGTAATGTTATGTACAGTGCTTAATGTTCATTTTGGTAAAAACCTGTGTGTGCGTGTGTGTGTGTGTGTGAGTGAGCAGTGTGTGTTAGTTGTCAGCGTGACTGGCATACATTGGTAAAAAACCATTTTTCTGCTTTCCTGCACTTTTAGTCTGATTCATTATTCCATGTGCCATCACCATGTCTGATGGCCACGCCTCAGTATCAGTAATGTAAATAAAATGTGTTGTTATCTATCCAGCCATCTTCTAACCACTTGTACAGGGCTGCAGGGAGCCTGAACCCTTTCCCAGGAAGCATAAGGGATCGTGCAGGAGAACATCCTCACAAACAGTAGAGATGCCAGTTTGCCTAACTGCAAGTCCCTTTGAATACAGGAGAACCTGGAGGAAACCCACATAATGGCAAGGATTCGACTGCTTTTGCATCATATGAAATCTTTAGGGTCTAACCATTACACAGTCAGGGCAACTGCCATGGGGCAAGCAAGACCAGCTCCAGCAGCTTACCGCTATAGTGCCACAATTAGCCTAGGTGGACCTGGAAATAGAAAGTTGGGCATCTCCATTACCCTCATGAGACTGTGTTCTACCTTTGCATGTACATAATTCACTTCATCTAAAAAAAAAAACCCAAAAAGGCTCCGGTCAGCTTCCTCCATCCTCAACACTTCCCAGTCGCCGATGGTTCTATCCCATCATGCATTTCAAGCAGGGAAACAAACGTCACCGTCCCCTCTGCAGATGATGTAGTGACCAGATGCGAAAAAGCATGGAGAATGACCTCATCTCTCAGCATTTGGAATACCAGCAGCAGCAATTAAACCACAAAATAAGGCCTATACCTTCAGCATGACTGGGTCAAGGGGTATGGCTGTCTGTTCCTGTGCTTGAGTCTCTCAATGTCACTCTGCGCTACATCGGTTCCTGTGCTGTAGAAGATCCAGTTCCCTAGCAGGGGTCAACCCTTGTACATGGGACCTCAGTAGACCAATATGAATGGGGCAACTCAATGGCTTATCCACACATTGTACTGTAACCAGATTTCTCCTCTTTTCCTGATTCTCTGGAATGGCAAGATTCCGTAGTATCCTGTGAATTGGGAAGGCTGCATTCCAGAGGAACATTTGTGGCTGCTGTCAAATCCTGGAAGTGGCCCTAATTCGGGATTTCCATGAGCAGCAAGTGGCGCTAATGAGATCAGTCCAACGACACATCACTGTGTTCTGTGCAAGGATCATTACATGAGTAAAATCACACAGATGTATCTGTTTAAGGTAACATGTCATTTGTCTTTGCATCTTGAGACTGTTTTTTGTGGGTGCAGATATTGCCTGAGTATTCCAGCCTACTTTCTTCCCATGTAGGATATCTTATATTATGAATAGTTTATTTTTTGACTCTCTGAGCTTCCTTCCGTTTTTGTCTGCCCTCTTGGAGTTTATTTTTTTGTCAGTAAAGACTATTGCATTGTCTCGCTCGCGGCCCGTTCTTTCCTCTGAAATTGTGCTCACCTTATTGCGGATACCTGACAGCTAGGCTCACTTAGATGCTTGTTAGTGTGAGTAGCTGAATTCCTTCTACATTGTACATTTTTAGCACATTCACCTATATTGATACTGATGTTTATCTTATATTATGCTCCTGTCTCAGTATTGTACTCTTTTTATGTGGAACATTTAATGTTGACTATTTCAATTTAGCTGTAAATTAAGTGATGGCTACTTTGTTATTACATTCTTCATCTTCCCCTTGTCTTGCTAACTTCATATTTCCGTTGTACTTCTTTAAGATGTAGTAATGACGGTGAACATTTTTTTTTTGCATAGGGCATTACGGTAACCCTCGAACCCTAACACAAGCTTGAACTTTTGCCCTAGCCCTAACCCTAATAGCAACCTTACATTTCAAATATCTATAATTGTCAATAGTATCATTATAAAATGCTACATAGAACATATAGGGTATTAAAGGAACATTCTTGTTTCCCTTCCTGTTTACCCTCTACACATCACACATAGTTCTTTCCACCTACAGAAATCCTCTGACGACAACTCCTTTGTAGGATACATCAACGACGGAGATGAGTCAGCGTACAGAGGACTAGCAAACGACTTTGTCTTACAGTGCAAGGAGTACAACCTGCAGCTCAACATCAGGAAGGCAAAGAGGCTGGTGGTGGACTTCCGGAGTAACATGGAGCCCCCAAGATCAGTCATTATATGGAGGAAGGAACTGCAGGTGCTGCGGGGCTACATGAATCTGGGGGTTCATCTGAACAACAGACTGGCCTGGGTGGACAACACAGTGGCGTTATACAAGAAAGGCCAGAGCAGACCCTACTTTCTGAGTAGGCTAAGGTCCTTTAACATGTGCAGCAAACTGTTGTGTATATTTCATCAGCCTGTAATGGCGAACATGTTTTTCTATGTTGTGGTCCTGCTGGGGAACTGGAAGAAGTTCAGCTGATGCCAAATGCCTGAACAAAATTCATCAGCAGCTATGACCTGATTTCAAATGGGATTTTCCTAGCTTCATGAGGACTGCTTGGTCTATATTAAAAAATAAAAGACTCCAGGAGACACTGATCTAGGGGACTATCACATTTTCAATCCATTTAAAGAGACTCTGCTTGGTTAGAAGTTTTACCTCTGATGATGAGGTTGAGGAAGCAGTGCAGACCTGGTTTCGGGAGAAGCTGAAAAGCTTGTTCTCTCAAGGAATGAAGAAGTTAGTGGAATGATACAAGAAGTGCATCGACCTTCAGGGAGACTATGTGATGAAATGATGAGCCTCCAAGGCTACTCTTTCATTGTTGCGTCATCAAATTGCATTAATTGAGGCAAAAAAATTTAAGTCCACTTTCTTGGCTTTCTATCTGAATCAGATGTTGACAGATGGAAGCCAGGGACAGAAAGTTGGAGAAGTTTAGTGTGTTGCCATTCTGGAATGATGGTATTAAATGCTGAGTTACAGTCTGTTAATCTTCCGCTTGTGGCCTCAGACCAGCCTCATGTGTTACTTTGTATTTATTGATTTTCTGTTATTTCCTAGCGTTTGTTAGTTATTTTTGCTTTCCTGTTTTCAGTTTGCCCTGCTTGTGTCCTGTTGGTTTTGATTTTGCTTGTACAGTATGTGTTCCTTTTACTGTTATCCCTCAGTGCTTTGCTAACGTTCCGTAGTTCTATGTTTATTATTAGTTACTCTACCTGTTGCCTGTTTCACTGTTCTAGTTATTTCATTGTTCCATCTGTTGCTCATTATCCTACACCCTCCACAATTAGTTGATTGTTTTGATGATTCACACCGTGTCTCGTAAGTCCTCGTTATCTGTGTCAGTCATCATATTAGGTGCCTATACTGTAAGATGTTACTCTGTGTGCTAATGGTGCTGCGTGTTGTTACTTAGCCTGTTTCTGAAGTTCCTTGAGTTCCTTGAGGTGCCTGGTTCTCTGTGTAGGTTTATCTATGGGTCTGTTTGTAATGTTTACCCCTGTTTAGTTCAGACCGCTTGTGGTCCTGTTATTGTCTCAGAGCCTCAAGTGGATCATCATCTTCTTTCGCACCTGTGCCATACTGCACTGCAACAGTACCTTGCATATCTCCAGTGACCTGCTGAAGGTTTGAGTGAAGTTGCAAGCCAGTTGGTCAGCACAGACTTTCAGGTAAGAATGCCTTTATGACCAGGTGCTTTCCTGATATTTTGCCTTTGAAGGAGTCTGTTTGTGTCTTCCACACAGATCATTAATGCTGTCTGGTTAGTGGGTGGGGTGTGTATGATTTGGACAGAGGAGGTGTTATAATAGATGGGCAGACTGGACTTGCTCTTCTAAAATCTGCAGTAGAATGTATTTAGGGATATCCCTGCTGTATTTAGGGATATCTCTGCTGTATTTAGGGATATCTCTGCTTCATGCTTAGTCCATTCAGCCATGCGGTGGTCTGGGGAACAGCAGGGGCAGTAGGACCTGTGATGCGCGTGAGACCAGGGAAACACAAAACGGGGTGGCCAGTGACACCAGCTGGCCAGACAGAGAAACAGATGAACAGGGGTGGAGTTTTTGCTTTATTTCTGGTTTAGGACTTAGCTCCTGATAACTCATTTTCAGCTTTCACCTCTTTCACTAATTCTCATTGCAACTCGGTGCTTGGGTCCTACGTACTTAACCACCTCAACTAGGCACCTGCTGTCAGGATCTGTCTCTGCCAGTTCTGTCATGTTCCCATTTGGCCAGCAGATGTCGCTGGTCATTCCATCTCTCCCCCATGTTCCTAATGATTCCCAGCTGTAGTGTTTCGCTAATCGGTCAATTACTCACACCTGTCTCTCGTTTGTGGTTCATTGCTTGTGTTTGGATGTGCTTGCCTGTGCCCCATTCCTCAGTCGGTCGTACATTTGTTCTTCCTTGTGGCTGGCTAGCGTCCTCTGTGTGGTAACCCCAGTTTGTTACTGTTTGGCCCAGCATTTCCCAGTGTTTGGTTTAGTCCTTGTTCATTCCTGTTTATACTCCCTGCCTCTTATTTTCACTCATGGCGGTCGCTTTGTTTGTTCTCTAGTGTAGTGTATGTTCTATTTTCCAATAAAATCTCTTTCAATTTCAGAAAGGTGCTCATGTATTTCATATGAAATTTCTGTGCATCTAGTCATGAGACTTACACACTTACCCTTAGAGAACAAACTCAAAGTATTATATATCCATCCATAAAATGAGCAGACCTTAATAAGCAAGACATTTATTAAGAAATCGTATGCTACAGTTTGTGTTCTTCATTATCCCAGGAGTCTGGATTGACACATGCCAACTGGCCAAGCAATCCAGGCCATGTGGGAAGTTGACTCATTGGAGGATTACGGCCATTTCCCTGCTCTGGTACTATTAATGGATGTGGGAAATTAAAGTTTTTAGGAACTGGGTTAGACACAGAGTGTTGCATCGGTTTACTTTTACAATTATTTATTTTACAATAGTTTTGTCCAAGGCAACATGTAAGTCCAATGTGAAAACAAATCAATATCCATGTTATCAAAAAATAAGCAATTTAATAGAAAGAAGGTTAAAGCTGTGTTTTATATCTCTTGTAAGTCCAAAAATAGCTGTCTGTGAGGATAAACCATATAAATATCTTTAAAACGTATCAGTGAGTTACATAAAAATGAGACTCATTTTGATTTCACATATCAGACCAACAATGGCCATCTGAAGAAATACCTCTAGTAATCTCAGGACATCTACAGAACATTTTAGAGGAAATCTAAATAACCTTCTGTGTGAGACATCAGAAGATTAAATGTTGAAGCAATAAGATCCATCCTTGTGTTGTAATCTTCCTTTTTTATCTGGGTTGGCTTAAAATCCCCAAAAAATGCATCTCACGCAAAGAATATAAATGAAGGAGAGATTGTATCTATAAAAATAAGCTCACAAATACTGTAATAAATCGATTAAAGTAATATCCCACCCTTCACTTGCAATTGTAAAAAATACATATCATTAACAATTCAAAATTATAATGAAATAATATTAACTATATTTTAAAATATGTGCATATGCTAAATAGCAGAAGTTGTAAAACAGATACTTCTTATTGCTCTAGGATTCAGACATTTTCCATTTGTAAAAGGTTTTGTGTTTGGTGTACAAACAAATGCATTAACTGAACTGTAATAAGAGGAAGAGAGTCCTTCATATAGTGCATGTGTGAGTGAATGGTGTGTGAGTGTATGGTGTGTGAGTGAATGGTGTGTGAGTGTATGGTGTGTGAGTTAATGGTTTGTGAGTGAATTTTGTGTGAGGGTTT